ATCGATCGCATTCTGGTAATGTCGAATTTCATCCACTCTTTCGCACTCATTTCAGTGTAACATTAGATAATGAAACGCTCAGCACGGGTATACTTAAATTGCAGTTGATCGTTGATCGATGTTGTTTGGAAGTCTTTATCAATGGAGGAAGATACACGATGACAGCAGTGATATTTCCGCTCTTGCATAGTCATCAAATGGAACTTTCCGTTAAAGGATCAGAGATTACCTTGGACTCTTTAGAATGCATGTTTTTTTGAGATTAGAAGTCTTTTTATATCAATCTTGCATGTTCTATTTTGACACTTAATTGTATCTGAAATGCTAAAAAATGAAGTATATTGTACGAAATTTAAGTTATCAAGTATTAGGACTGTACATGCCAAAATTGGTACGAAGAATCAAATGTATTCCACATAGAATCTTACAACATCTCCACAGTCAGAAGAACATTCTATGATATTAATATGGAAGAGCCTCTGGAATGCTGGGAGCACAGTAGATCAGAGCTGGAACTGGACAGGTTTTTTCTGTCTGGTCCGGCCAACAATCGGCCGGACGAATTTCGCAGCCAAACTGACAAAAATGCGCCGAAAATAACCGACTATAAAAGTATATGTTCACATAAAATGTTGACGAAGGGGGAATTGAATATTCACATGCAGAAATCCGAACTAGGGGTGATCAATTTGCATTTACGAAAAATTTAGAAATCCAAAAATAAATTTTAAGAAATTTAAATTTAAAATAAATTTTAAAAAGATTTATTTATTTTGAATTTAAATTGGGTTTACATAAATTGAAATTTTGTAAAATTATTTAAATTTATGTAAATCCAATTTAAAATTAATATAAATTAACAGCAAATCGCCATTCCTAATCCGAACTGGAAATAAAAATTGGAACTAGAACTCTGCCTTCATATTTTATAGCAGGGTGCATCGACTTGCCGAGCCCAACATCGATATAAATTAGCTATTGAGATCAAATCTGTTTTTCATCTTAATTTCAAAAAAGAAAAAAAAGGCAAGTTTATAATAAATCTAACACAAAAACGTAAATATTTATTTTTCTTGATTCAGGCAGCTGCCTAAATAGAACAAGAGAATAAATTATTTGATCAAGATTAAATTGAGTGATATACGAGAAAGAAATCGATAGGAATATAAAGAAAACAATCAATCGTTTATAGTCAAGTTGAAGACAAGATATCTATTGAGTTTTTCGCAAATACATTCTGCTGACTTGAAAATATCATAAAAAAGCCGTTTTTAGTAGAGAAAATTCTTGGGTGCAAGCAACAATTTTGTAATGATGAACTGGCAAAAATCCGGTCCTGTCCGGTCCGGTTTAACTTTTTGTCTGGTCTTGTCTGATCCAGTCCGGCCGGACTGGTTCCACCTCTGCAGTAGATATTCTAGCCGTTATTAATCTTTACGTTTCACTTCATCTGTACTATCCTTTTCGCTATATTCATGTATTCGCTCGCTGCCCTTGTGACTATTTTTATTGTTCTGTTACGTGACCATTTCCTCTTTGTTGCTCCTATTCATGCGTGATCGATCTCTTTGCTATATAAGGTGTTATAAGCGAAGGAAGGACGTAACTAAGAATGTGCAGATGACACATACTCGCAGTTCCTCATATCTTCTTACATGCTACGCAACTATGAAGAGTTTTTATAAAACCACTACGCATCTTTTCACTGTATCAAACGGATATCGTAGGTCTTTTTAGAAGCATACAAAATCCTTCTCTATCGAATGGAACTATTGAAGGTTTTCTAAAAATCATACAGAACCATTTCTTATTCTACCAGTATATGCAGAGTTTCGTCAGAAAGATGCCCAAACTTCTTTGGATTCTAGGGATGCACGATGATGTCATTTGGAAAATGCGAAGCTATTTGCTATTTTTTTCACACTTGAAATGGTTTAGTATGAAACATTATAAACCTGTCGAATTTCTCTGAGCCAAAAAAGTTTTGACATGAGACGTAGAAAACAATTTTTCATTATTTTGAAATCGTGAAAAGTTTCTTAGCGTGATGTGAAACTAGTGAAGTTCAGTAATAAATCTGTTGTTTTTACAGTGTATAATAAATCATAATTAGCAAGTGTATCTGAAAGCTAACTTTCAAGGAATCCACATTTAAACATGTAATTCATTTCACTATTTATCTATAAACTTATGTCTTGCTACCACAAAGTGAGCTAAACTCCAAAAGAAGAGTACTCAGTTCCAGTTTAAAGAAAGAAATATGTTATTGATCGACTTAAAATATTTAGAAAAATAATTCACTCACAGAAGGAGTTCAATCGATTGATCAGCCTAAAAAAGAAAACAATTTAAATGAGAAGTTTAACGAAAAGATATATGAGATCGAAAAGTTCTAGTACCAATAGGTATGGCAAAATACAAAAAAAATCTTTAAATTCTGGAAAACTAATATCTCATACATATTCGTTTGAAGTATTCGAGCTCAAAAAGAAAAAAAAACCATAGAGCAAAATACAAAGTTCGTAATAGATTTTCATTTGATGAGAGAAAAACTCTTTCGTTTAGGAATAAAGACATTGCCCATTGATTTTGGTATTGAACTATCGATTTGAAAGTACGAAGAATTAGATTAAAAAAAGTATATATATATCACATGTACTTATCATTTATGCGCGAATAAAAGAAGCGATCTATGAGCTTTTAGAAGTATGCTGAAGGCACTATGCACTTATGCAATCAAAAGTTCAATTGAACACACCTGCAAAATAACTACGAAAATAGAGTACCCTCTCAGTGACTGTTGTAGATACCTCCCAGTGTTCGATTGCCATGTAGGATATCAATATCATAGGTTGCTTTCAAACTTTCCAATCGATAAAGATCACATCGAATTCATTTCAGTTTTGAATTAAGTTGACGTTCGATAACAATATCGTTCTAATTTGTCTCTATTGAGAAATTTTTCTCAACGTTGATTTTGACGAATATTTAATGATAATTTCTGTCATATTCGCTTGTCCGAAATTCATTTCCTTCAACATAACAAGATTTGATGCACGATGTGTCAAATGACATCTCCAGCGAAAGAATGATCAATCTCGACAAATGAATCCGCTATTCCATGACTGTCAAAATCGACACTTCATTGTTGTACTGTCTTTCGAATTGAAACAATGAATCAGTTGAAAGAAGCATCAATTGACTCCCAATATCGAAAGTCTCTTCTTCAGGACAAAATTCTTATGGCTAAGGAACCATTTCTCATTTAGGGAGAATTCATCATACGATCTTCAATATATTCTCTCTGTTGACAACAAAGAAATTCTAAGTTACGCATTTCTTTTATCTTGATGAGCAAATTTATCGACAATAGATCTTTAGGTTTAATTATTGTAGATAATTTTCTTTAGTTCTTTATCTCAGTAAGATTTAATACTTCTGAGAAAAACTCTTTTTAAGATTAAATTTTATCAATGAAGAAAGTAATTGAAATTTCGAAGAACGAGATGGACTTTCCAAATGACGATCATTGATCAAGAATTGAATTCACATTGTGATCGATTAAAATTAAAAGACACATGTGAAAAAAAAATGATAGTTTGAATATCTCTTCGATCTGAATAAATTTCATCCGATCGAGTCAGTGCTCTTTCAATCAACAAAACAAAGATGATTTCAAGTATCTGCTTGATTCAGTCAATATCTCGAACATATAAACATTTCTTGGACCCTCGAACAAGCAAATCGATACATTTATGAAGTGAGTACTCTAATAGATTTCTGCCCTCTATAGAGATCATTCTTCGAAGTAATCTCTCACGAATAAATCTGACAAATTGACAACGAAAAAAGTATCAGACTAAATCGAAGATATCATTTTCAGTTTCCATCATCGATTCATGTTTGCTCTTTTAAGTTGGAGCGGGATCCTGTGAGATTTTCTCTGTATTTGTTTTTCTGAAACATATTTTCGTTGTTTCCGATAATGCAAGAAGTAAGATTGCTACATTTTTGTCATTGAACAAGCTAAGAATTTCTCAAATACCTCATTTTATATGAGTTTTATTGAGTGAAGCCTTTTGTAAGATATATAGTCTCTTCGGTTTTGTTACAAGTTTTATTTAAAAAGAGAATCATTACAAGTTGAAAGTCTTCAGTTCATTAATTTTTTTGTATTCCGAGTGGCTCTACTCTGCAGATTATTTCTTTCTTCAGATAATGCGATCCTTTTCAACGAATATCTTCTTCGAAGTCTATTCGTCAAGAGACTAAGATGATTTGTGCAAACTTGTTCTACAACAAAACCAGAAAGAAAATATTCCATGGCAGAAAAATCTTCCATTTCATGACGATTTTTCATTAAAGTTGTCCTCGATCAAATGACTTAACTTATTTTGATAGTTCCAAACATAGAAAATTTTTGTTGACTGTCCTCAATACTTTGATACAGTGGTACTCTTAGTAACTTGCTATTGATCAATCATAATGCGTTCGTTTCTGCTGTTCTCGCAATCGCCGAACATTAAAAAAAAATATATATTTTGACTGAGAAATCATGTCGATGTCTCTAGTGTATCATTTTTCGATAGAATTAAAACACTAAACATTTAAATGTTCGAATGGTGTATGATAACGTGTGATTAATAGCTAAAATATTTGTAAAAAGGCACAAAAACATTTCTAAAATCTTAACTCTGCCATGATGAATGGTTTTTAACAACGTCTATGTCTGATGAATTGGAAAAAGGCAAGCTCGTCAATTTGCTTCATTTGATTCTAAGAATGATTAAATGAGATATTCCAGAAAAAAATCCAAAACCATCAGAACAATCCAAAAGTAAATGATCTTTTTTTCATTGTCAACTGAAAATTCAGCATGATACACTATTTTAGTTCATCAACAGTTAGAACAAAACAAGCCGAGGAATCGTTTTCGTGGTGTATTTTCATTTTTCAGCAGCCAATTTCAATTGTTCGATGCTTTCTTTAAGTAATGGATCTCTAAAGTCATATGTGACAACATTTAAACCAGGAAAGTTGAACAACAGGAGTTCTTTTAAATTTGTGAACAAATCTGCACGTGGTGTATATGTACCGGATGCATTGTCGAATACGAGCTCCCATTCATCATCACATCGATCCCAACCAAACTTTGGGCGTGGATGAAATTCACCTGCATAACGTACATATTCGGCAGCATTGGCAAGCAAAACATGTTTACTTGCAAAATCAGCAAAAATCTTATGTCCAGTTTCACTAAATCGCCATGTACAATCGTCAATAATATAGGTGTAAACGCATGGTTTAATCCGTTCTGTTGTTTTATTTATGAACACCGATTTCCACAAATCATCACTATTGGTCAATCGTCCGTTTTCGGTGTTCTTCAAAGTTCGTCTATAAAGTGTTCTATGAGCCAGTTTTAGAGAGGCTTGTGTGGCCAACGAGAGAGAACCATCACCAAATACGATTTTAGCATTTCTAGATTGTAGGTTCCAATGATGACGTTCATGATAGCCAAAAAAGTAAGCGATTCGTCGCAATTGTATTTTCCATGTTGAATAGACATAATTAGAATTAAGCATGGTAAGATGACCAAGGAAAAAATCATCATGCCGAGAATATCGGCAAGGTCCATCATACGTATAAGCTGGCAATTGTTGATTTTCAATGGATGATTTGATTGCTTCAATGAATAAATGAAAACGACCACGATATTTGTTCAATGGACCGATTATGTTATGTCCATCTTCAGGTGCCTGATAATTGACAATGTTTTCAATTTCGAATAAACCCACATAATCATCAGTTATTTTTACGTCATCTTTATCATAAATAGTAACAAAGAGTTTTGCACTCGTGGGGATATTTCGAACAAGCCACTGTTCGTCATTCCATTTAGGTGACGATGTATTGGGCATAATTGTTGACCTGAAATCAATCGAATGAAATTGAGCTTACTTATACCGATTCAACCAATGATGATATGTTATTCTGCTTCCAAGTAAATATCACTTTTATAGTTCATGGCTTATTATGAAATGGTAATGCTATCATCGTTAATACTAGAGTACTGCAACCCGACCCGACCCGACCCGAACCCGCACCCGACCCGCGGGTGCGGACGGGTTCGGGTTCAACCTTGTCGGGTCGGGTCGGGTCGGGTCGGGTGCGGGTTTAATTTTAATAAAAGTCGGGTTACATTTTTTTCGTAATATATGCTTCTGTCTTATGTTTTTGTTAGTGTTAAGCACAAAGAACAATGAAATATAATTCTATTGGTCTATTACCCTATCAATAGAGCTGTTGTTTCTTGTGGTTAATTTGAAATAAGCGTTCTGAATAGCAAGTGTATCAACCGTCACTAAAATGTATGGAACACTTGCTTCGTTTAATGCATATACTGTTTACACGTTGGTGACATAAGCAGCATGTATACGAAATCACTTTGTCTATAACACTGACAGTATGTTTTTAATCGAAATGTCTGTTTGATTTGAATTAATATTTATATTAATGAACGATTAAGTGTCCATCATGAGATCTCACAGTCAATTTTATTTAATCCTTGTGAGATTAAAATGTGAAAGACAATGTAGTTGTAAATATTGTAACTGAGAGATTCAATAACATATGCTTCGATTTATGAATTATTATCTGCTATTACTCTGTGTCAATGATAAAAGATGATAATCTGAAATATTACAGTGAGTATGGAAGGACAACAAAAGACAAGTATCTTAAATATAATCGTGTTTCACCAAAATCTGCCAACAGACTTCGGTTGCATAGCTATATCTGTAACGATCTGTTGAGGAAAGAGCGGTTGAGTCCAAACTGCTACCCGTATACTTCAACACTCCTTCTGAAGCATGTTTGGTAAAAGAAATGAACAGTTGTTTATCTGTCAAGACTACTAGTAAACTTCAATCCGTACACTTTGCTTATGAAAATTAAGTGCATAAGTAGATTTTACTCGGTTACATAAAATGTACGAAAATATTTTGTTTCAAAATTCCATTCGGAACTCTGCATTGAAATAAACTAACTTATCTTTCAAAAATACACGAATTTTATTTTTCGGGTCGGGTCGGGCTCGGGTTTGATTGTCATCGGGTTGGATCGGGTTCGGGTTGAACCTTGTCGGGTCGGGTCGGGTCGGGCACGGGTTTCACTAGAAGCCGTCGGGTTGGGTGCGAGTTCTAAAAGTCAAACCCGCGCAGTACTCTAGTTCATACATCATATATTATCATCGATAACATCTGTGTTAATATTTTCAATGCCCTAGTCATATATTCTAATACAAAATTAATTTAAATAATTCTAATCTTTCTAAATAATCAAACAGTGGGTATCGTAAAAATCGAATATTTCCCTCTAGGTAAGCCAAGGGCAGCCTATATTTTAAACCTTTGAGTTTGGCAGCAAGAGCTTTAACATGACCGGAATATGTCCCAGTTTTTTAACGGACAACACAAGCACCTCCATTGTAAGCTGTCTTATTGTAAATACACTATTATTCACTATTCTCTGCATGGTATCTGTGGATTCTACAGAGGCTTTCGGAAAAAAAGCTCGTAATTTAAACAGTAATTTTTGAACCTTAGTTGTCGAAGTTCTTTCGATATCCCGGTGGATTTTTAACATGAAGAATGGTACAAGCATATATCAACTAATATGCTATACACACTCTCCTAAACTTCTGAATCAAGTTTCTGGCCGGATAACTTTGTGTTGAATAAACACTTGATTTTGTAATAAATATTCTTTGTTGCACATTTTATTGCCAATGGATTTTTACTGTTTTTTTGTCTACTATTTTTATTGGAAACATTGCGCGACCGTTTTGTTTTCTAGAAAGTTTTAAAAGATTTTAAATGAAAGAGAACATTGTACACGAGCTGGATCGTATCGAGTTTTTCATTTTTGATTTACGCCGTGGAAGCAGACTGATTTTTTTCAGTAAGACAATCTCCCATTAGAAAGAAAGAATGACCCTTTCAAAAAAAAAAATCAAATCCTACTAAGTGCATTGATAAATATTAGTTACATGTTAACATAAATCCCAAGTTCGTACCATTAGATGTGAAAGAGAAGTTCTTCAAATACGGAAACCTAATTGTGTACCCTGGACACGATGTCAACTTTTGAAAATTTTAATATTTTGGACCGATAGTTCCACTATGAATTCTAGACATACAGTCAAATGTTCTATGAAAGCTTTAGCCAGACAATGTGTTTTCTGAAAAAGCTAGATTTCCTAGTGCGAATAAAAACTTAAAAAGTTGGTCATGCTAAAATGCTCTTCCTTTAATCTTCCTTAAAATCAAATCTAAATTACAAAAATCGATGCGATACATATTCTGAATAGAAAATTGTCTAAATGTCAATGTAACACTTAGTTTTGATTATACTTTTCATCTATTGAATTATTTTCTACATAGTAGCTTACGTGAATGAGATTCGATTATCAATAGTTGCTACAAAATATGGATCACCACGTCCAACTATATCCATCTTTGGTAAATCCTAAAGAAGAAAAAGTAACCAGAAGATAAGAGTGACATTATTTATTGTGTAACCTCTGCCGAATCAAAATTGATAGTAACATCGTAGTGATCGGAAAGACCATAACCATTCAAATCTATTTCACGAAATTGTTGTTCAAGATCTGCCTCGGATAAGTACAAAGACATTGATTTGTAAATCTAAAGCTAGAAAACATTACATAATAAGTGAGACGTAACACAACAAGGCAACAAAAGTTATCAGTTTGGAAAATTGAGGATAACAAATGGATAACACTGAGACTTTGTCTCCTGCCCACACTTTCTACCTATTTACGCCAATAGACTTTATACAACGTGGAAATATATTATTTATCGTTGTCCTTCGTCTTTTTTCATTCGACATTTTCTAGTAGAGCGAACTGCTCCTATCACTACACATTCATAAGTATGCTTTTTGGTAGCATTAATAATATTCATTGACCACAATAAAGCTGAAAAAACAGAGAAAAGCAAGCGTAAGTTTTTTTTTCTGTTGAAAGACATTTGTTGCCATCACGAGTTACTGTAGTATGGATGTCTATTTTAATTGTGTAGATCATCATTTATGAAAGACATACGACGAAAGAGTTAGATCAAAAGGCACACTCTTTTAAGCAATTTTCTAACCTATTATTCGAGCATTCACGTTTTCATGCTTATCTCGATTCATACGCCTTCCTATATCCAGTAACCTCCGCACATTAAATAGCCAAGAATTTCCAAAAACATGTTCAATCACTATAATCACAGTTGCCATTTTAGCATATTCACGCTCATCCAGAAAACATTAAAACTAACTATTTTCATCGAAAATGATGCATGATCACATGTAAAAAAAGGCAAGTTTTGCAACTGAAAAACGTGTCCAGCCGTTTTTGGACAATATTTTGACGTGTTTTGCAGATAGAAATGACATTATTAGATACGTGGTGCAGGGTTGCAATCGATCTGGTCCGAAAAAAGTTTCCTAAGAGGACGGTATCGATTTTTTGGGGTTTTTGCATATATGCTTTTAAAAAGTTGATTATAGACATAGAGTTTTGGCATATCTTACCAATTGTACTTATACTAATAGCTATTTCTATGGAAAAATACATTAAAATATTTTTTTAAAGTGAGTATCCATAAGAATATGCCTAATATATTTTATCACGTCACTTCGGCATTAAGCTATACTATCAAAGCACCATGAAATCATTTTTCGTCATTGTAATGTATGTATCTATTTCATATTTATTTTCATTTCATCTTATTTGCATCATATATCTCGCAATGATAAAACGAATAAAAAAAAGTACATCTATTGTGAAACGCAAAGTACTTATACGGTTGATTTAGAATTTCTGTCTGACTAGCATTTCATTAGTGTACAAAACGACTATAGAATTTCTAGTCCTTGGAATTTTACATACGTCGATAGATCTCAAAAGAGAGAAAACGTATAGAAACAGATAGTGAAGAAAAAGGTTTCAGCATAACGTCTATTGAATTCAACTATTGGACAGGATGGAGCCACGTTAAATCTTGTGGAAAACCTAAGGAGCAAAAATCAAAAACTCCGTACTTCACCGCGCTTCAAGGAAATGTCAAAGCTATCTTCTAGAGATCCCTAGCTATTTTAAGTCTACTATCAACCTGCATATCACGAGGATATTAGATTGAGTTCACTTTATCTAAGTCTGTCTGATGGTAAAGACCAAATACTTCATTGTATTTGCAAAATTGGAATATAAGTGAAATACGATGAAATATTTGGTCTTCAATACCACACAGACATATATACAATGTAAAATGAACTCAAATTAATATATTCACAACACATGGTTGATACTAGACTTGACAGAGCGAATACGTATATAAAAGACAGCTTTGGTGTATCGCTGAAGTATGGTAGGATAGACAATTTGAGATTTTTCTTCCCTGAGGAAACTACATCACCTATATAATAGATTATAATAAGATCACAAACCGGCATGTCGGAGAATCTGCTAGGTCGTCGAAAAAAAATAAAAATCTCTGTCACAGTGTGCCAGTAGGTTAAAATAACGTCAGCATATTTGTCGCAGTCTTTGAAGCAAGCTGGAGAAAATGGGATCAATTTTCCCGGTATATACTTCGGCACTGGTTGAGAATTATCTTTCACAAAAGCACTATAATAGTCAAACTAGATATGCATCAAACTTCAGTCGCTCGGGCTTGGTCAGGCTCCGGCTCGGTCTGACTAGATCATCTTGATAAGGCTCGATCGAATTCGGTTGGATTAGAGCTAGGGATGCACCAGCCCAGGTAGACTGGGTACCCAATGCGACTGAGTACCACCCGACTCTACTAGATATCTAGTAAATTGATCTAGAGTTGATTGAATAATCAGT